CGATGTCACTGCTGGTGTAAAACACAACACAATGCCATACAAAAGCTGAAGCAATATAAATGCAACGGTCTGTCTATTGGGGGGGGGGGGGTGCACATGCCCCCCAGTTCCTACACTGGTATTCAGGTATTGATACCATAATGCCGGGTCACATTCCAGCAGCATTCCAGGGTCTCTGGAGCAGTTTAAGGAAGCGGTACCATGTTGTCAGAAGAGTGTGGAGGCACCTACCAGGGTTAGATGACTTCTGAAGTATCTCCAGTTCTCAGAGATATGCAAACAGCTCGGGGAGGGGGGCACAAGCTGGGGGAATACCCTGCCCACCATAACAAATTGCGTGACACTGTAACCAGGCTGCATCACTGGTCTGAGGCACACTGGTCACTGGTGCTACTGAGAAGCCGAACCGCCGGCAGCCCCCCCCGGCATGAGGTAATTTTCTGTGTAAAAGCCACAGGCGCCTTCCTGAGATCACAGCTGTGGACCGTGACACCTGTACGTGCGGTGAGGGGAAACCTGCTGTTTCACTGACCTACTTTTAAACTTCATAGTCACAGGCTCTTTCAGTGTTTCTCTTTTTGATCTGCTGTTTGTCCATTGCTTTTAACTGTGGCCACAATGCTGATACTCACCATTAGCACTCAATATAATACCAACGTCTGGCTCTTCATCTACCGGGATGCTCTGCAGAAGGACATTAGATGAAATGCCCACGTGAGGGTAAACCTTTAAAAGCAATGCCCCCTCCCCCCGCCCCTTTTCACCCATCTTGACCTTTGCTAATATGCACCTTTTCTGGATGATCAGTTGGGATGGTACTGACAGAGTGACTGGCTGGTGATCCTGGGCCTGTGATGGAACAAGAAGCAGCATCACCCTATTATCTATCATTACCAGAAAAAAAATTCTTGTGGTCCGGCAATGAGGCTCTTTACTCTTGCTCATTCATACAACAAGTTTCAGGTAATTTCCATTCTTTCTCCAAAACATCCTCATAGCATTGGCGACCAAAATATGCACATATTAAGTATGTCTGGTAATGTCTAGTTGCTTCATGCGGTGACAGGAAACAGCCCAACCTTATCCCTAGGAAGCTCAAGATTGAAAATAAACGATATACTCGAGTTTGCCTTTTTGACGCGTTTGAGAGTCGTTCTATGCAAGAAAAGGGACCGTGGGGGAATTTGCTGACACTCTCCACCCTAATGTCGTGGTTAGAGGGTTGCCTGAAGTTGTGTTTGGACTCCACATTGAATGCCTCTGGGTCCTGCATGCAAAATTAATAAGCCCCTTGATGTAGAGTCAAATTGATAGTAAGAAGGAGGAGGGTGGGAGCTGTGAGCTGATACCTTGGATTCGGTTCGTCCCCCAGGACTTGGGCCTCTCCTCGGTCATAATTCATGGGACTATGATGAAGTTCTTGGAGTCACATGGACAGGTAACCTGCAAAAAAAATGTGAGATATCTGTGAACAGGGACTTGGACAAACAAACTCTGCATATTGAGTCTCAGCAAGATCTCTGAAAGAGTGTTGGTGATGTCGGGATAAAGTCTGACTAACAGTCATAAGAAATTCACTCTGACTGTGCGGAGAAACCCTAGACTGCAGCTCACAGCTGGGGGTGTGGGAGGTGCTGCCTTCAGCCCCGTCTGCTCCGATGGCTTTCTCGCTCTTGCCCTTTTTTACCATCGTTGTTTGTTTTTGTGACAGAGACGCTGCTATTGGTTGGCACTCCATCTGAGGATTTCGTGTGGCACTTATTTGTTTACTTTGAGACAGCGTCTGCTGTTTATTCTTTGCCCCCAAATTTCCCCTCTTAAAAACATCACTTTCTTATTTCTTCATTGTCATTCACCTCCACTCTTAAACTTTTGTTACTCAATGTTTTTCTTCTTGCGGCCCTCTCCGTCCCTTCTTATTATTCCTCTTCCTTTCCTTCCTCTTCCTTTTCTTCTCCTTGTTCTTTATCATCTTATGTCTGGCTCTTTGTTGCTCTTGCACACTCTGTCATTGAGGAGTAACCCCTAAAAAACTTTCTAAATTTGAACTTGTGGTCTTTTTGTGTTTGTTTATTTTTATAACTGGAAGGACGACAATCTAGTGCTAAAATAGACTGGATATGTTCTCATTTTAGAGTCAAGTGGTGGCTTGGAGTAAGTCTTATTTCTCAAGGAGGGAATCAGTAGCTGGGAGTCCAGATAAAGTGTTTGTCTTTGTGGCTGTGAACTCTTTCTGTGTAGGTCTCTGATTGCCGCCTACCCTTCATCCCATGCCATTCCACACAGATGCACCATATGACACACAATGCACATTAATTGGTGCTCTGGTTAGTCTCCATATTGACCAAGGTCAGTCATCATGTAAAATCGTTAATCAATGATCTAATCCATGTACTTCTTTGTTGTCCCTGCTCACCTGATCGCCCAGAGGGATGGCCAACTGGTGCAGGGAGTGGGAGGAAGTGTGCTAGTCTTTGGGGTGGGTAGCAATCTTGCCAACTCTGCACACACATACACACCCATTTACATGTATGTAACAGTTTTATTACCTTGTAAATGATCTGTAGGGTTTGCATACTGCCCTGACGCTTTTGATGTAACAAATTATAGGTTTATAATGGAACGATACATATTTGCATTTGAGTTTGAAAATGTGAGTGTCATGCCAGATGCGACCCTGCATTCCATTGTAAATGAGCTATAATGTAAATGAAGCCGGGTATTCTCACTGCATTAGACTTTTCAGGTTTCCGTCAGCGACACCATGTCCGACTGCAGCACCTGTCACCAATCGAACACTAACTGGCAAAATCAGGCATCCTTATTCTACTGGACATGGTTACAGTCCCAGTGACACACTTGAAAAAGTGTTTTAGATTTCTTGGTGTGTTTTGTTGGGATTTGTGATATTTGTTAATTATCACTGCAGAGGAGTAATGTAACTAGAGCACTCAGGAGTTTAATGACAATGCAGAGCAGCAGAATAGCAGATTCTGGAGTGTCAGCCATTTTCCAAAGCAGCCTAACATTCTGGTAGATGCCATGTCACAAAACTCTGCTGGAGGATGATGGCGAGATATAATTTCAAAGTGTTATATTAGCCAGGTCACCGTCACCCCCCACGGCTCACCGTTACTCCCCCATGGCTCTTTGTGAACCCGTTCAATGGGGGAGCATTCTGCATTTTGCAAGAACGCACCATGCTACGACCAGTGAATAATAAGTTGACAAATTGGGTCCAGAAACTCCTTCGCCTTTCAGCGGAGCCCTGCCTTCAATGTGAAATATCTAAAACCAAAAATAAGACAATAATATGTTTACATATGGACTCAATTAAGGTCTCCATGGGCTCATCTGGAAAAAGTAAACAGTGACACTGGGAAATGAGGGTCCATTGTGAGACCTGATTTGGTGCAGGCTCTTCAGGTCGTTGAAACGTGGTGGATGAAACGCCCCTCAGCGTCCACTGCCAAGACCCACAGGCTTGCTCTCTTTGAGGGGCCGTGAGAGTCATGGGGGGTCACCAACAAAGCAAAGGCCTGCATGTGTCATGGGATCCAGGAAGGAGGCCTCAAAACGTGACGAGGACGGCAGCTGTCAGTCTGTATATGATGACTGCTTATAATAGAAAAAATCTTATTTTTAAATTCAGATCTGCAAAGCTTCAGCTTTTCCTGAAAAAACATCTCTGGTGATCAGCTGCGTCTGAGAGAATGTCGCTGATAACCAGGCCTCCTGTGCCTCTGGCGTCTTAACAGACCCACAGTTATGAAACCCATTCGCGGCCTTCAGCAAACTAACTAAAATTGTTTTTTTTTTCCCCGCTGAACAATATAATGGAAGATAGTGTGGTTATGCTTTGACACCTGTTTCAAATAGTTTTTTTCAGTCCCCCCTACACAAACCTAATGGACTGCTAAAAGGGCTTTAAGGTTTGGGCTGGCTGTATCCTGTTTGACAGTAAGAAAAACAATTCTCTGTGTGTAATATGCATCAAGCAGTAGGTAGAAAAGCAGTCATTCACAAGACATTGTGTAGGGAGTTTTGCCTTCTGCGTCCCAACCCTGTTCAGTCGCATCTCATGCTTCTTTAAAGCAGCCACAAGTTAGCGGCTGGTAAATTTTCATGAGAATCAAGGGCTCTTTTGATTATTTTGTTGTTTCCTGTTTTGATGGTACCCTGAAACTTGTCAAATGCGCGTGCTGATTCTCAGGGAGCCCCCCCGCCCCCCCTCCCAGCCGAAAGGCTTCGCCACCTGAGCACATTCAGGATCTCAGCTGTTCCCGCTCGGTACAGCGTGTCAGAAAGGCACTGAGTTAGACAAAATGCTTTAAAGGAATTCCAGAAAGTCCATCTTGTCACATAGATGTTAGAATTTACAAAAGTGCAGCCTAACGGTGCACGCATACTGCCAACTTCCTTTGCGCTTTCCTGAAATCGAGTCTGAGGAGTGGAAAAGGGTAAAGGTGGCTGTACCTGTAGGCGGAGTGAGGTAATATGAACTGAGGCGCGGCATATACAGCGGCGGCCAGGCGAGAGGGAGAGGCAGAGGGAGATGAAAAGGCCGTGCGACGCCACACTGTGAGCAAACCTCACCATCGGCGAGCGAGGTGGGGAGAGCGAGGTGGGAAGAGCGAGGCGGCGCGTGCTTCCGGCGTGCGCAGGTGTGCACCGAAGCGGAGCCCATCGGCCCTCCTGACCTCAGCCACCGCAGAGATGGTGAGATAACATCCCCCCAGCTCACAGGGGGGGGGGGGGGGGGTATGTCGCAAGCGTCTACATGGGACAGCAGTAATTGAAAAACGGGGATTGTTTGCTCACCTACAGTACCATGTGTACATGTCGACACAGGACCCAAAAGCCTGCTGAACCATGGCTGTGATTCTGGAGAACCCAACGCGTCTGGCCAGGGTCACCACCATGCTGCAGCCCAGGGCAGATGGTCGGAACATTGCATACAACATCAAATTTTAACAATTTGTATGTCTTTACGTCATGTATAAACATTTATGTAGCTCTTGAAAGAGATGATTCACTGTTCATGAAGGTTTCGCCAAGTTGTTCGTAAGTTCTTTACAAGTAGTACTTCATGATGGCAATTTAGTAAGTAGTAGAGTAGTAAGACTCTGTTAAGTATTTATGTTTTGCTATTTCTTGTGTCAAACATGCACCAACATTTAGGACTGAGTGCTGTCAAACTGAAGGAACTGTAACTGAAACATACAGGTGCTTTTTATCGCCCTTATCTGTGACTGTGGTCACTCACTTGGGGGTGTAGGGGTGTAAAGGTTATGTCAGTACTATACCCCTCACCCACTGTTAGTGTGGTTGGAACATGTGTGTCTGTGTGTGTCTGTGTGTGTGTTTCCCAGGATGGTGTAAGCTGATCCGGTGTGTGTTTGGGGGGTTCAGGATGCTAGCTCGCTCATTATCGTGGCACTTTCATTAAGGTGCCAATGAAATAATCTTCCCTGTCACTCCAGGCCCAGCGGAGGGACGTGACACGGCGTCAGCCCCCTCAGCCTGTCTCTGCTGTCTCCAGGAAGCATGTCACAGCTCTTTGCTGCCAGAATCGCAAAACAAAAGACAAAGATGTCAGTTCTGGGGCCAAAAACCGATACAACATAATTACCGATGTTTTTTTCAGGTTGCGACAAATAAATGGGGATGTGAACAGTTAACTTGCATATTCTCCCCGTGTTTGCATGGATTATTTCCAGGTACTCCACTTTCCTCTGTGTGCGTCCTGTGATGCCCTTGCATCCCGTCCAGGGCGTCCCCTGCCTTGTGCCCCATGCTGCCTGGGACTCATGATGACTCTGAAATGGATAAGCAGTATGTTAAATGGATGGATGGGTATATATCCATGCCAACATGATGACACTCTTGGTATATATTTACAGCGTGGCTTTAAAACCTACTGCGATTCTAAGCTGCATGGTTTTTATGTTCTGCTGCAGTAAAAGCCATGATGCAATTGCAGTCGAACCTGCGGTTCTTCAAACTGTTAAACACGCAACATGTAGCATGCGACACAATAATTGGAAGAAAAAGAAGAGCGAATGCAGTGTGTCATTTGACAGGACAAGGTTCCAGGCTTGGATTTTATTCAGGACAAGCACCGTCCTTTTAGAAACTCTCCCTCCTCCTGGTAACACAGTTTTTAAAAGAATGATATACTAAAATAAGAATTCTTGAAAAATATTTTCTAGCTAGGACTGCCCCTTCTGCTGAATGTGTTTGTGAGCGTGGCCACGCGGCCTTTGTGCTTCTCCACCCTTCCTGTGCGCGTACACATCCCAAACCATACTGTGCGCATACATATCCCACGCCCTACTGTGCGTGTGCACATCCCACGCCCTACTGTGCGTGTGCACATCCCACGCCCTACTGTGCCACGGCCCCCTTTCCATGGTGCCCCCACCCTGTTCCCCTGCACCATCTCTGTTTGCTGATTATTGTTGCATTTGGTCATTTGTCTGGCCCGTTACCCGAAAGCCAGATCGCGCCAGAGAGGCAGGACCTCCACCCCTCCATGCATTTGGGGTGGGGGAGGGGGGGCATACAGCAACACCCTTGGCCCCCAGCCAGTTCCTCCGGACTGCTGCTCAACATCACATCCTGTATATTTAGATTCACTGCTCCCCAAGGACACCACTCCCACGTTATTCTCTTTCCCTGCCTTGCTTTCCCTCTTTCCTCGCTCTCTCCATCCACACAGCTGTTACTTTTCCTCATGTTTCACATTCTGGGGAATATGGGGGGGGGGCACGTTTTTATAGTTCTTGTGGATGTGCGTATTTCAGTGTGTGCACAAGGTCCCCGAGTCCCCAGCTGTCGCTAAGGCGCATAGGGGAACGGGTCATGATGCGCCCGTCCATCCGTCCAGCTGGCAGTGCTGGTGATTCTCTGTCCGTCCGTCCGTCCGGCAGTGCTGGTGATTCTCTGTCCGTTCGTCCGGCTGGCAGTGTGGGTGATTGTCCGTGTGTCTGTGCATCTCTCCGTCGCCTTGGAGGTCCGAAGTCCCTGACAGACAGACCACAGCTGCAGAGACGACAAAATCACCACACACCCTCGCCGCGCTCCACCAGCTGTTTGTCTCGGCCCAATTACTACATCCCCCCCATTGCTCCTCTAACTCCCCCCCCACAGCCCACAGCCCACAGGTCTATTTATATCTGTGTCCAGACAGAACAGAGAGAGAGGAGACTAATCACCAGAATTCAGCACTTTCCCTCCTTTTCAGACCCCGATTATTCTGGGTCCAACCTCATAAAGACACAGGGCGGGGGGGGCGAGAGGGGGGACGGGGGGCGAGAGAGCTGCAGCTTCCACATACAGCCCCCGCTTCAGGACGAGCTGTACGAGGTGCAGCGGAACATCATCCCTCCTGAGAACTTCCAGCTAAGCTAAGCTAAGCACGGTGATTTCATAACCCTAAGCGTCTGTTAAGTTTCTGCAATAAGCAGATAAGGTGCTTTCGGTCTAGCGGCCCCCCCAAATCACCAGGGTTGAAGCCAGTCTGAGAGGTAAGTGGGTCGACTGGACAGAGACATGGAAAGCCTGTATAAGCAGGTCCACGCTTTACAGTTTCTGCAGCGAGCCCTCGAGCACAGCCACGGCCAGGGGGATATGGTCCCTCGAACACGCTAACAGCCATGCATTACAGCAGGCCTTTTGGATGGGCCTTAGCCACTCTGATTGGCCGCCAAGGGAACACTCCACAGCCAGCTACTGCTCTGATCTCCAGTGCCCACCGTGGGCCAACTGAACTCAATGACCACCCCTTTTTTTCAAAGGTCTTTCTTACAGAGAGACAGGCTGCAGCCCTCCAGTTGGTTTTCTATTGCACGCTTTTCAGTGCACAGATATCTTTGTCATTCACTGCTGTCCACAGTAATGCGTGTTTATGCATTAACATCCCTCCCCCCCACCCCCCCCGCCTTGACGTCTCACTTTCCAGAAGATTCCAGATAATGTTGTGTTCCTCTCTGTCCTCACAGTCTGCTTCGTATCAGGGCCCCGTGTCTTTTTTTGTTAAATAATCTCTGTTCTTTTACTGAACAAAAAGATTTGAATACCCCCAAGTTACTATTTTTCACACATGGTTTTCCTCTCGATGGAATGGCAGAAGATAATGGGAAAGGGGGGGTGGGACTAGAGGAATTGCAGGAGGGATCCTCGGCTGGGGGCCCATGGACATTCAGGCATCACCTCAGGGACCGTTCCTTCATAGAGCGTCACAGTGACCTTAAAGTCACGGATATACATCTATGTTACTCATTTGTGTAACATTGAAGGGGGGGGATACTAATGAATTCATATGTGATTTGTTTATAATCAGACAAGGACACACCGATAAGTCTGGACTTGGGAAGTAACAGGCCTTTTGGTTTTTTGCTAAAGTGGGTCAGTGTGAAATCCACTTGGGCGTGAGTCCTTTTTCCCTAATTACAGTGACGTCATGGTAACCTATAAAACAAGCAGGACCCAAGTCCTCCAGAGTTATGAGGTTCTCGTAGAGAGCGTTGCTTTTGGTTCTAGTTACTGAGAAAAAAAAAATCTGTTCCTTCAGAGAGCTCTTTTTTATTCTGTTAAAATGCTTGAGTTCTCCTCTTAATTCCTGGGCCAAGAAGAACATCTCAGAATGGATGCAAACCATTTTTCTAGCCAATTCCTGCTTCATGCACACAGCGGGTAAATGAACAAATGTGTATCTAATTGTTGCGCGTCTGTGTGTGAGTGTGAGCAGGCAGCTCGGCAGACCCAGTGATTCGCACTGTCAGCTCCTGGGTTGTTCTGGGAACACTCTGCCACGCAGGGCTGAAGCGAGCATGTGGCACGGTAACGGGTGTGTGCTCCGCGGGCACAGTGCTGCATGACCACTGCCTCAGGTATTACTCCTGTGGAGGTTTGCCCAACAGCAGCCTGCTCGTTAAATACGCCTGAACCAGCATCAAAATTTCTCAATCTCTGAGACATTTTCAATATGGCTATTATCTTTAACACTGATATTATGGGTCTAAAACTGACCTAGTCTTCACCTGTTCTACTTAGATTAAATTATTATTATTGTTGTTGTTCTTGTTGTTGTTGTCATTACTGATACTGCTATGCACCTGTGTTGGCATATATACACTTTGAATAGTACAATCGTGGTCGCATGGTCCCTGGCTCCAATTTAGTTGTCTGTATACAGTACATTGTTGTATATTTATGTCCCTTCATACTGTGCTCTTATGTTGTGTGTATTGTCTGATCCTGTTTGTACCACAATTTCCATTTGAGGGATTAATTAAGTTAAAGATAACACCACTTGACAGAGCACAAATAATGTAGTATTATACTGTTACTTATGTATTAATTAACCACAAACTAAGTCTTAGTTACATAATGATCTCATGTTAATGCATCATTAATTAATTGTGTCATATCCATCTCGTAGCAACCATATTTGTTCATGATTTGTACTTCAGTAGTAACTGAGTTATTACTAAGTATTTGTGTCCCATCAAGTAAAGTGTTACCAGCTCTTATCCTAGATTTTTCAACCAGTTGTTTCTAGGTCCAATGTGCAGGACTAGCAATGCGAAGATATTGAAAAGCCACAGTGCTCCACCAGCTACGGGTATGCTAAAGTAGTTCTCACTGTGACCCCTTGGCTGAATGTTGAACATATTCATGAATTTCTTTGCAGCTGTCTTGTATTTAAACCCAGGTGCTGCAACATCAGCCTTAAAACGTTGCTGTGTTCTTGCTTCGACTTCTAACTGCTTGTTTTAAATTTCTGCCACACTCCTGTGGTGGCATGAATCCCAGCAAGTCCGGAGCGTTCGGCCTACTCCAGCTGCTCCTTTCACACTCTGCGTCCCAGGCACTTCTGTCAGCTGGCGACTTGGCATTCGGTGCACAATTTCGTGCCACACTATCTGTTATCGAAGCCTCGAACCCGTGTCTAATTTAGCGTTACCGCGAGAGCCTGCAGGGTAGCTCATGGAACTTTAGATTTTTTGTTTGTACCACTGAGCACATCTCACTAACAAAGCTCATGACCACCAGGGTGTGTGGCAACATGGCCTGACTGACTAGGCAGCATGGGTGCCAGGGCACTACCCTCCCCCCCTCACTCACTACCCCCCCAAACCTTCTGCTCTACCCCTCCCCCATAGGGTTGTTGAGGCCTTTCTGTGAGTAGAGTATGAAGGAAGTACCAGATTATGTACAAACAAAATACCGGAACATAGGCAAGAGACGCATATGAATCCAAAACACTGCTAATGTTGTTAGCATTACAGTGTGTTTGCTTGCCTGTGTATTTACACAGCACCATCAGGAAGTTCACCAGATGTTGCGGTATATCAGATAGCAAACTGACTGCAGTTAGAGTGGAGGACGGATTAGTACGCCCATGCTTCTGTCAGCTTAATATTGGCAATGTGGATTAGCAATATTAGCCTTGTGGCCTTCCAGGCATCTGTGCAACATTGTGTCTTCTGCATGGGGGGGGGGGGCACTGTAAGATGCTGTAAACAGGTACTGCTTATACTGTGGAGGCACAAAGACTGACTTTGATAGTTTCAACCCTGGAAAATTAACCAAGAAATGCAGCACACCACAGCACTCAACATAAAACTGAACCCACTGTCACCATGCCGTGTGTCCGTGTGTCACTGTGCCGTGCGTCTGTGTGTCCATGTGTCCGTGTGTCACTGTGCCGTGTGTCCGTGTGTCACTGTGCCGTGTGTCCGTGCGTCTGTGTGTCCGTGTGTCCGTGTGTCACTGTGCCGTGTGTCCGTGTGTCACTGTGCCGTGTGACCGT